AAAACCGTTCTTTTGCATGGTGTGTGGTCACGTGCATGGGTACCAAACTGACTGGTACTACTGGAATCGGGTTAGGAAAACTTGTAAATGGGGTCTTACTTGCGGCACGTATCTTAGGAGCAGACGGCTTCTTGGAATGGTTTCTTGAACTAGTGGGGAGGTATGCAGTAACAATGATCAGATTGCATAGTGCTAGAGTGGAAGAGGTGAGTCATGTTGTGGTTGTAACCTATGACAGGTTTCTGGACCCTTCTGGTCTGGGGTGAACTTACCTGAGGTTTGAAATGATGTTTGAGGGATAGTTTCACCCTGATCTTTGATTTTTCCAGGCTCTGACGAAGGCGATAAGGCCGAAACGTAAGCCAAATAAAACTGTTGTATCATCTTGGTTCGGCTACAGTAATATCCTAGACAGAAGCTCACAATATGCCAAGATTCATGGAGGGTCGAACGTTAATGCAAATGCGAAAGTGTCGCCCCAGGAGTCAAAGCACTCCTTTACACGGGTTTTCTGTTGTGTTAAGCAGATGCGACAATTTCCTTCCGGGAGTCAAGGTACTGATTCTGACAAGTTTTGGGTTATTCAAGCGATTTGTGGTCTATTTGCGACGGTCTGATGCGGTCCTGTGCTAAATACATGCAACAGTTTCGTTCCGGGAGCAAAAGTACTCCTTCACACAGGTTTTCTGTTGTGCTAAGCAGATGCGAAAGTGTCGCTTCAGGAGTCAAGACTCCTTCTGACAAGTTTTGGGCCATTCAAGTGATCTGTGGTATATTTGCGGTTTAGTGGCAAACAAATGTGACAGTTTCGTTCCGGGAGCCAAAGTGCTCCTTCACAAGGTTTTGTTGTGCTAAGCAGATGCGAAAGTGTCGCTTCAGGAGTCAAGGTACTCCTTCTGACAGGTTTTGGCCATTCAAGTGATCTGTGGTATATTTGCGGTTTAGTGGCAAACAAATGTGACAGTTTCGTTCCGGGAGCCAAAGTGCTCCTCTGACAAGTTTTGGGCCATTCAAGTGATTTGTGATATATTTGCGTCGGTCTCATGCAGTTTAGTGGCAAACAAATACGACAGCTTCGTTCCGAAATTGAGAGTACTCCTTCACACGGGTTTTCTGTTGTGCCAAGCAGATGCGACAGTTTCGTTCCGGGAGCAAAGTACTCCTTCACAAGGGTTTTCTGTTGTGCTAAGCAGATGCGAAAGTGTCGCTCCAGGAGTCAAAGTACTCCTTCTGACAAGTTTTGGGCCATTCAGATGATTTGTAGTATATTTGCATCGGTCTGATGCAATTTTGTGTCAAAGAATTGTGACATTTTCGTTCCGGGATTCAAAGTACTCCTTCTGACTGACAAGATTCCGGTCATTCAAGTGATTTGTGGTTTATTTGCGGCGGTCTCATGTAGTTTAGTAGCAAACAGTTGTGACAGTTTCGTTCCAGGAGCCAGAGAACTACTTCCGACAAGTTTTTATTTGTGCTAAACGATGTGGCAGTTTCGTTCCGGGAGTCAGAGTATTCCTTCACACAGGTTCTCTGTTGTGCTAAACAAGTGCAGAAGTGTCGCTTCTCACAAGTATGCGGCCATTCAAGTGATTTGTGGTATGTTTGCGGTTTAGTGGCAAACAAATGTGACAGTTTCGTTCCTGGAGTCGAAGTACTCCTTCTCACAAGTTTTCAGCCATTCAGTTAGTTTGTTGTACAGTTGCGTCGGTCTCATGCGGTTTTGTGTCACGAGATGAACTGGTCTTGATGGCACGTTTTCAGCGATGTGGGTGATCTGTGGTACATTGGCGCGGCGTCATGCAGTTTCGTGGTCAGCGGACATGATATTTCTGTTCAGGGGTACTCAGTGTACTCTTTCAGGCACTTTTGAGCCACTCAGATGGTTTTGTGGTGTGTCGAGTAGCTGTGTAAATTTTGTTTAATCGATATCTGTTCCTGGTGGTTTCAACCTTTGAATTGATTTTCATTATTCTAGCAGTGACACTGGTTTTTTATCAAGCGAGCGTGATATCCGCGTTCAATGGTCCAAGTAATTCTGATGGCAAGTTCACAGGCAATTAGGTTTTTATCGCTGCTGTCCGATGGCGCTGGCTCAAGATGGATTGATTGTGGTAGCTTCGGATACATTTTATGTCTCTTTGAATGAAGCTTGCAAGGAACCAGAACCAGTTTGTTTGTCATGCTCGTAAGTTGCTGCCACTTGTGAAACAGGACCTTGTTGAAAATATTCGAAGTGGCTTCCAAAATGTTAGAACGGCATGGATGAAGATAAATGGAGGGAGTTTTTATCGTATAGGTATGTGTCTTCATTTTCAGTTGTGGGATTATCAATATGTGTTTCACTTTTTAGTGTCGCTCATGTTTACCAGCGTGCATGGCCATATTTAACTGTTTGAAGAAAGAAGTAAGCTATGAGCCACGAATTTTCGGGGAGCGGTATGTGCACAATAGAAAACCCGGATGTGAAAAATATTGCATAATAACTGCTTGAGCTGGATGCTCGCTGCATGGGGCCATAAGAAACATCTAATCACAAGCATTAAGCATTGTTACTAAGTGCCAGAGAGCCTGCTCAGAGCAGAGGAGGTCGGTGCAGTGGTGGCTTTTTGTCGTGGGTACCATTGCCAAATCCAGCTTCATGTGGTCCGGCAAATCGGTGTTTTGTTTTGTCAACGTGAAGTAAGATGTCTTTGATCTTCGACATGGCTCTGACGGCTAAATTGTGCCGCCTCACTTCTCGTTATTGACTATGTTGTGTAATACGTGCTTAACGTATTTAATGTAAGATATGCAACATAAATTATCCGTTTTTTTACTTGAGAACACTTTTACTGTTGTTATATGTTTCGTCTTTTATTTCACTACGCTTTTCAACTTTCCTGATGTCAGTTGAAGTTATAGTTATCTGTTTATTATTATACGGGAGGGGGATTAGTATAAAAAAACTTTCGTTTCGCTCGTGCACTTAGAAATCAAGCGATTTGTATCACTCCTTTGTGCTCGTCATTAAGGGTATGACGGAACAATGACTTGTTCGCGATAATTCGCAGTAATATCCTACTATATATAATGCGCTAAATAAGTATGTGTGTGTGTGCCTTTCACAAAATTCATAGCGACCGTCCCACTAACAGTAAGAAGTTGATTCCAAACAGTAATATTGTCTTGCCAGGCGTATTAATTCTACTCTCGTCTTAGGGATTTATCGTGCCGACTCCTTTAATTCTCCCACTAATAGTTTGCGAAGCAGCTTTTTTACATTGGCGTGAGGGACCAGTGAGTCTACCTCACTCATTTAGGAGTTCCGGCTATTGCTTCCAGAAAGCTAGGAAGCAGTGTATGACTGTTCAAAGACCATCTCTCAAAGGGCAGTTGGCACGATAAATCCCTAAAGACGAGTAGGATTAATATGCCTGGCAGGACGGAATTCCGCGCCCCTGAGCAGGCGCTGCGCAGCGCCTTTCCAAGGAAAGGTGCCCTTATAAGGGCCCTATCAAGCTACAACATACCGACCCGAACGCCCACCACGCCCGCCCGCCCACAAATGGACGACCGTTCCTGACGCTCGTATTGATTCATTTGCTAAGCAAATTATGAAGCGAAGGGATTGGTATGAAGCGGCCGTGATGCTGCATGGATATATGAGTACATATGCTACCTTCGGTAGCGGTTATTGGCAAGATGCCTACAGGAAACTCGTCCAAAATTGATTTCTAATAAGAAGAACGAAGACTCTTCCTTCGCAGGATTTTGACCGTTTCACTCCGTTCTTTCGCCATTTTCCCACTATATAGCACCCTGCTAGCATTTGAGACTACGTACCAATTTATCGCGCCAACTGCCTTTAAATATTGAGGCGTTCTCCGACCTCCGAGGACGACGATCTTGTCAGAACGTCAGGCCGTGAATAAACGTTTATCTAACATCCTCACTGACACGCAAAAACATTGACTATTACATCAGCGCCAAAGTTCAGAGAATAGGAAGGTTGCACACTATCCTTGACATCAGTTCAGCTGATTCCACTGAGCAGAGGGACATGCCACCGAATTTATAAATAGAGCCGATCAATGAGGCGTGAATGCGCGAGAAAGATTGCATGAAACCTGTCACGTTATTTATATTATGGAATCATTAACGTTCGGCGCAGTATGCTCGCAGCGGCTATGCTAATAGTAATAGTCGCACTTGTAAAAACCCAGGTGACCTAATTCTTTGTTAATTTTTTTTATGAAGCTCCGATTGACCTCCCTGGTTTCAAAAGCTTGGCTCCAAATTTCGGACAACTCTTTTGTACACCCAGTATGAGGTGACCTCCTAAGGGTTTCTGAGGGTGAATTATGAATTATAGGTTTTAGGGAGCAGCGAGAGGTGTGAAGTGATCTCCAGTTGATGACGGTCTTGGGGCTTCGCTTCTTGAACTTTGCGGCTCTCTCTCTCTCCTCGCATCGAAAAGCGGAATATTTTGCGCGAAGGAGGTGATGGTAAACGGTGGTCGGATCCCGTATAGATGCTAGGTTTAACAGCGACACGGTCAGGCAAAACCTTCGATTGAAGATGATGTGGTCGATCTCATTATGGAATTGTCCACCAGGAGACTCCCATGTCCAGCGTAGAGAGTAGGCTTCTGGAAGTGCGAGTTACCATAGGCGGTATATGTCGAAATGACGAACTCAGAGAGTCTTCAACCATACTCCACTCTTTTCCGTGGGTTCCAGTGTGAAGTTCTTTAGCCGTTCTTCTTGGTCCGATCTTAGCGTTGAAATCACCGACGATGACCTAAAAGAAGGTATGGTTCTTCTTTTTGAGGCGGAGATGGTGTAGTGACAAGTGGGGCGCTCACCATTCGCGCGGTCCCGGGTTCGAATCCCGGGTCGACTCCCGCCCAGGCCAACCAAGCCTTCTACCCTCCGGGGACGGTAATTGGTACCAGATTCGTCTGGGAGGATAAAACACTGACTTGTACATCGGCTGGCCACCGCAAGTCATTGTATAGGCCACATCGCATTCAATAAGCCACTACGATTCTGAATGGAAGTAGAATGCGTGCCGCATCCCACAAAGGGATTGATCACGGCGAAGACTTTATCCTTTTTTTACTTTATAGTCTTCTTTGTACAACTTCTCCGATTCCATATAGAGCGCTTCAAGCTCATCCTCTTCGTAGCTAGGTGTGTGCGTAGGCAAAGAAGATTGTCGAATTCGGAGCAGAACCATGTCTTCTCAATTCTTTGCCTGATTCAGGTCTCAAGACCTTGGTACAAGTCGGTGGTCACGGCCAAAGTGCTTGTTGACGAGGACGCCCACACCGCCAACGCCTCTGCTGTCGCATGTTCCGAGGAACAGTTCTTCTCCAGTCTCGTACACTGCATGTAGCGGGACTTGCATCATCAGATCTTCGATGTGAGCTTCCGATGCAAGCGTCCGTGCGTTGAAAGTACAGATCGTCATCCTAGTCCTGGGCGACTTGATTCTCCTTGGCCCTGTGATTCTAGCAGCTTCGCTCGTGCGGTCCCGGACAATGTTTCGCTCAATTAGTTGCATTGTGACGTGTCCGCCCTCGTGTTTTTATGTTGCCATTACTGCTCAGTTCTTTCCAGATGAATCTTCTTTAGAGTTCCTCGACTGCAACAACATCCTCAGCGATTGGCTATCAGCGGACTACGACGCGGACCAAGTGACGACAGCCAGCGAGGACGAAGAATATTGCTACTGCAGCTGCACCGCGGTCCGCAACAGCTCTACCTCGCTCCAAAGACTAAAGCCTCGTCCCAGCTGCTGGTCGAGTCCTTAAAACGGCGCCTACTTTCTGCCCGGTCGAGCTTCTGTCGCGAATCACTCAGCTTCAGAATTGAGCCCGATCGACTGCTGTTGTGTGATTACTGGATGGATCAGCTTTGACCCGCTGATGGGATCACATTCGTTAGCAGTATTGCCAAACGTTCACTGCTCCGTGCAGTGAGCTGTGATGCTGAGATTATATGATGGAACGCTACGCGTCGTTATTGATACTGTAAGATGCAGCAACATTTGTTCACTAAGCAGCAGCAGATATTTAGCGAGCTAGTAAACTGTTTGGTAGCAGTGGTGGCCAATTCACGTTCCATCGCTTCATTAGCTCTCGTTTCAACAGCAAAATTTGTTGCAACCTCCCTCTCTGTCTGCCTGACTTCATGTACGATTCCGCTCACAGCTGTGCGTACGAAGTTAGGCAGCGTTCATAGTTCGCGACAGCAGCGGCGATCGCCGCGATCGCCAGTAGGAGGACCAGCTCGCCCCAAGATGGACGGATTGAAAAACTTGTTGGAAAGGTATTTTCATGTGGTTTTTTCTTTCTCCCGCCCACTAGTACTCTCAGTGAGGGGGTTATTTGATTAATAAGTGGGGTGCAGTTAAATAATAGGCTTCTAGATCGAGATATCAGCCCGGTTTAAAATTTCACATAGTTTCATATTTTCTACTTCCGGGCAGTGATGTTTGGGAGTGTGGGAGGTGAAAATACCAAGTCTCATGAAGAAATGGTGAATTTTTATGAAGTGGGCGGAGTCAGGGGGCGGGGCTTGGTGGCATACGGAAGGGGGCGTGGCGGCGCACACAGTGGGACGTAGTGCCCCAGGCGGACCTAATGACACACCTTGCCTCAGTACTTAGGGTGGGACGGGGAAGGTTGTGGGAAAGTCTAGAAAAAAAAACGAAAATTCTGAGAGAAGTGGGCGGAGTCGGGGGCGGGGCTTGGTGGGATATGGATATGGGCGTGGCTGGGGACCTAATGACACACTGAGGACGTAGTGCCCCAGAGCGGACCTAATGACACACCTCACTGATTGGACGGGGGAATTGCCGAAATAGTGGAAGTAGTTCGAGCGGCGCACACAGTGAGACGTAGTGCTCCAAGCGGACCTAATGACACACTTTGCCTGGGTACTAGGGGGGAGCGACGTGGGAGCCCGTGGGAAGCCTTGAGAAAAAGTGAAAATTTTGGGAGAAGTGGGCGGAGTCGGAGGCGGGGCTTGGTAGCAGGGGAAGAGGGCATGGCGGCGGAGGCTAATGACACACTGAGTACGTGGTGCCCCAGGCGGACCTAATGACACACTCCACTGAGTCGGCGGGGAATTCCCTGAAATCGGGGAGGTGAAAGGCGTTATGAAGGAGTGATGAAGTAATGGGGCGGATTCAGGGAGCGGAGTGAGGGGCGGAGTCGGGGGGGGGCGAGGTCGGGGGAGGGTAGGGGGAATGAGAGGTGAGGTACGTCGAAGAGGATTAGGCGGAAGAAAGAAAAAACCGCATGAAAATACCTTTCCAACAAGTTTTTCAATACGTCCATCTAGTTGTGTTGGCGAGCTGGTCCTCCTACTGGCGATCGCCACGATCGCCCGCGATCGCGGCGATCGCCGCTACTGTCCGCGAACTATGAACGCTGCCTTAGGTATAATCGACACGAAGACGTCATTGCAAAGGATGATGTCATACTAGGCTGCGCTGCAGAGACTCGACTAATCGTCTCCAAGCGACGCCGTCACATATGCTCGATTCACGTACCACATCATACCAAAAAGAACTGCGACGTTCCCTGGGCTTTGAAGGATTCTTCTGGACTCATTCAGATCGATATTCGTCAGACGCTACGTTTACCTGAAGGCTCAGCCACATGAAGGGGACATCCGCGACCACAACGGAATGATCAGTCAGCGACACACAATAGCCGAATTTAACGACGGCACTCTTGAGCAGATAAATGACTTGTGTTGATGTAAGAGTTGGTCTCTCGTGAGGACGCGGCATCAGCGCACGTGCTCTCTGCAAGATGAGAAACAACCCAGCAGCAACGACTCAGCAATTATTTCACGTCTGCCAAGATGCCGCATTAGAAGACTGCAGAAAGTTTTTCGTAGCATCCTCGAACGTTGATGGGCTTATCCTTGGCAGACTTTATGTCAGTCGAGGATGTTGTTGCTTTGGATGACCAAAAGTGGTCCAGTCTGTTATTCAGCAAGGTCACGTCTGCAACTGTGTCAAGACGCACGGTAACGCCCTTCCATCGATTTCCACTGCAAGGTATGTGCGAGATACGGAATCGGCGTCAGCATGGCTCAAAGCGATGACGACGTTGTTGGCAGATCTCCGCTGAGATGAATTGGGCCAGCCTTCTTGAACCAGAAATAAACCTTCTTGGTTTGGTGAGCAAGCAAACTCAGGGTTGGATATTTCGTTGTAAGGTCGTGCCAAGAGTCAGAGTCATTCTTTTACTGTGCAGTAGTCATCTATTTGGGTCCTTCGCGCACATGTGATGCTCATCATCTTTGGCTACTTGCACCCATCCTTTTGGCAATTGCTAGGGGTTCTTCTCACCGGCGGCACTGGTGATCAACTGCTCATAGACCTGTCTGTAATGCTCTGCTTTTGTCACGGCGACAAATTTTCAAAGCCTCCTCCCTAGCGCTAAAGGAGAGCTGAAAATTTTCCCGTTTCCGACTTTTCTCTGCGCTTTCCAGGCTTTTAATGACGTCTTCTTTTTCGTTTCCTTCTTTTTCTGCGTTGCCTGATCACATGCCGTTCTCGACCTTCATCTGGATGTTGCAAAAGGGAAGCCAATTGTCACTGTGCTTTTCCTGCGTCAGCCTGATGTGCTTAGATTGTGTGTTGAGTAGTTCAAAGCACGGTTCATCGTGTAGAGCAGATCGTAAGGCATTCATCAACATAATGGCAATAATGCAAGAGGCGGCGTTCTATAACGGACGCTTCTAGTCTGGACATAAAGGCTACGGTCAAAGAGGCGCTGACTACTGTCCCATAGCTAGACCCTGATTTGCTCGTAGCACATCTCCGAGCACCTAAAAATATTGTAACCAGGGCACCTTCGAGTGGCACCATTAGTTGTTTCGAAGAGAACCCGTACATATTGATCTCGCGCGTTGACACCCGTGATAAACCTGAACCTAATTGGTCGTTTATGTAATTCAAGGAAGTCATATTTATCTGCAATTTCCGCTTATGATTTTTGTATGTGATATAAAATTAGTGCATTTGTGCTCATATATTCTGTTGATAGTGTTGAGGTTAACACCTATTCCATCCAGTCCAGTAAGTGAGCAAATAATTCTACATACTGCATATTCTACATACCGTTATCCAGTAGAAGAAAATGAATTTTTTTGATCCTGCTCAAGGTTACGGAGAAAAATTCTCCTGTATAAGTGAAATTATTAAAATTTTCCAACGAGTCATTTCTCTAAGGTAGCGTTACAGACACATTTTCGGATGAGGGTGTTGCTGGAGTTATGAAGTTACAATTTTATATTTGTTCTTCAGTAAGTCTATGGTTTGGTTAACTATATCTTCATAAACTTTCTTTATGCTTGTTTACATTATGTCACTGTTGTTCCATTGTTTCCCTATTCGAGAAGATTCCTACATTTACATGGTATTCATATCACTTATAACAACTTTGGCAATCTTTTATCAATGTATTTTCCAATAGCATCACAAAACGTTTTTATTACCAACTATCTATTAACAGTTCATTATTGAGATATTTGGAGATTTTTTTTGTAATTTGTAACACTATGCAAAGGTTCATTGTATTTAAAACTATTCAAATTGTCGACATATTCATATCTATTCCTTCTTTTTGGTCGTTTATACAATTTTACCATAAGCAGAATTTATTATTTTATTAAATGGAATACCACTGAATATTCTGGTGGTAAAAATAACTACTATGTTAGGTGATTGTTTAGTGACATTTTTTATCCTTGCTCTTGTTAACACCAAAGGGTAACTGTCTTAGTAAACTGTTTATTAACTTTTTTATTAGTGTCCTTGTTAACACCAAAGAGAAAATGTGTGAGTAAACAAAAACAGTTTACTCACCAGGAAAAGTCAACAGGTCGCCATGGCCATTCAGGATGGGATGCATATTGGCGTGTGCGTCTCGGACACTGAACTCAAATCTGCTTTCAGAATTTGCGGAACGATTCTCTAGGAGGAGTTAGGGGGGGGGTTCCAGCACAGTACCCGCCGAGTACTCCTTGTGCTAGCTTAAGTTAAGTTCGACAGACATCAGTGACAGGTGGTCGGTGGTGTAGTGGATAGGTAAGTTGATTCATAGACGCGAGGTCGGGAGTTCGACTCCTTGGCAAGGTCCGATTTTTGCTTTTTTCCGAAATCTTCTGTGAGTCCAGAAAGGACGTCTATTCCATTATTTTCTGAGTCTGCTTTCATTTGCAGAAGAAAAGAGTCGAATGCCAATTGTTCGTCAGTTGTGCTCCAATTTCGAGGGTGAAAAAATTAGTTGGTTATCAGATGACACATGAATGAGTCGAATCACAGCTACTGAGGGGCACTGTGATGTGCTTTCATGTGCTTTCTTCGATGAAGAATTAGTTTAATCACTTCAAATTAACAGTTTAACACTAACCGAATTGGGTGTTCTCCTCCAAAGGACATTTTGTGCGGATAAAACTCATATTACAAGTAAGCCTCTTATGTTAGACTGGGTAAGATCCTGCATTGACTATCCAGCCAACACCTGTGATAGTTTGTAGAGCTCTTTCAAAAATCACAGACTCATTCAACTGGCTATGTCACCTGGAAAGCGTTTAAAGTCCTAAACATACCACCAGGTGCTACAACCTTGATTCAACCTTTGGATTTACTCCTTTCTACTGTTTAAGTGGATCTATAGACGTTTCACTTCCTACGTAGCACCTCCCGATATCAATTTCTCTATACGCAGTCGGACTCTATTTTTCTTCTCTCTCTAGTTTATTTTCAACTTTGCTCTCCTCCATTTAGGAACTTTTTGTCCTGCTCCTGTATGTCGCGGGATACTTTGATGCAAATCCTGGTGAACTTGTATCACCTGTTCATTACTGATTCCCTTCTGAACTGATGTGACTACACCAGTTAGGGACAGTTATTCATCAGTCGTGCTTCGGTGGGAGAAGTTGTTTTGTTTCAACCATTTTGTGAAACAACAACCGCACATGTGCTCTTGAATAGTTGTAGTTTGACTCATGGTTTTCAGATTATTCATGTACCATCTGAAAACCAGCTAATTTTTCAAGAAATCTCGAAATAGAAGCACAACTGACGAAGTGCCAGCATTTGACTGTATCCCTTCCGCAAATGAGAGCAGACTCGAAAATAACGGAATAGACGTCCTTTCTGGACTCACAGAAGATTTTTCGGAAAAAAAGGGGAAAGTCGCCTTTGCCAAGGAATCGAACTCCCGACATCGCGTCTATGAATCAACTTATCTATCCAGTACACCACAGACCACCTGCTACTAATCTGTCGAACTTAACTAGAGCTAGCACAAGGAGTACTCGGCTGGTACTGTGCTGGAGCCCCCCCCCTAACTCCTCCTAGAGAATCGTTCCGCAAATTCTGAAACCAGATTTGAGTTTAGTGTCCCCCACACGCCAATATGCGGGAGCCGGTCGTTCGGCGCGGCCGGTTTGCCACTGGGGTCAGCTGGCCGTAGTTGCCACTGCCAGTCCGCTGATGCGGTGCGTTTCGCGGAAGGACAACTCGTCCGTGTCAGCTCTGCCTTGCGATTTGAATGCTCGATTGATCGATCACTGGGGGACACCTTCAGAGACGCCTATTTGCAGAAGAGCGGTCTGCTGGAACACTGTTGTGCCATTAGATTCTCCGGAAAGTTCTCAGCGTTTTGAGTGTTTCACTTTGAACGATCATAACTTTCTTAATACTCATCGGATTCAATCGAAATAAGCACCGTTCGAATCAGCACACTTTTGCCAATGTGACACCAGTCGAGAAATCCCATCAAAGAAAAAACTGGGTGGTCGAAAATTCACGAAATCCACGAAGGCTTTTTTGCCTGGTCCTGATTGATGAAGTATTTTCCAGCAAGGAAGTTCTGAAAATGTTTGAAAAGGTGATAGTCGGTTGGTGAAAGGTCTGGAGAATATGGCGGTTGAGGTAGAACTTCAACCCCCAATTCGTTCAATTTATGGATAGTGATTTGTGAAACGTGTGGGCGGGCGTTGTCATGCAAAAGAATCGGACCCTCTCTGTTGACAAGTGCTGGCTGGAGCAATTTTCGGTAAATTTCGTTTCTTCACAGTAGGACTCTGTTGTGATGGTTTGGCGTGGTAACAAAAAGTTATAATTAGTTATAGTTATATGTAGTGTGTCATCGGCTGCATCACACCAGCCGATGACACATTACATATCTATACCACACTGTGATCGTAACCTTTTTTCGTGAGGATTCGGCTTTGGAAATTGCCTCAGGGGTCCGCCGGCATCCAACCACTGTCCGAAACGTCTCCTGTTATCATACATGATCTCCTTTTCATCACACGTGACAATTCGGTCCAAAAGCGGGTCGTTTCTGTTGTGCAAAAGCAGTGAAGAAGAAACCTCGAGACGTGCCAATTTCTGCCGGTCACTCAAATTGTGGGGCACCCACTTGTCGAGTTTTTTCACCTTCCCAATGCGTTTCAGACCATCCGCAACAGTGGATTTGCCAACGCCTAGCTTTTCTGCAATCTCTCGAACTGTTGGGATCAGCCTCCACAAATGCCTTCAAATCCTCGTCAGGTATTGCTTTAGGTCGACCGCTACGAGGTTCATCTTCAAGGCTGAAATCTCCAGAACGAAATTTGTCCATTCATTGTCGCACGGTGCTTTCTCCAACACTAGTGGGCCCCCACATCTCTCGACTGCGGATTGACCCAATTTGTAGTTGGAAGAACAATATCGTCCGAAGTTGCTCTTTTGACATGCTTGAAAAACTCTTGAAAAAAGGGGTTCAATCAAGCAATGGTGAAACGGCAATTATACCATCAGATAGCGCAAAAATTCTCTTCAGGATGTACTACTGAGACGCAAGGGAGAATGAGTTTTTAATCAGCAATGAATGTACAAAAAATAGTAACAAAACGCTGAGAACTTTCCGGACAACCTAATATTATTTAGCTGTGTTTCGTCCTGTTGCTCAAATATTATTCAGCTGTGTTTCGTCCTGTTGCTCACGTTTTGGGTTTCTTCTGTATTTTTTACTGCTTGGATATACTGCTTCGCTACTTGGGGGTGGAGTTATCACAATCTTTCTGGAGTTGTGATAAATTCCACTTCATAGCAGCTTACAGTAAGCTATCAGGCCTTCATTTTGTGGTAAGGAACTATTTTATTTTCGGTGTGGAGTCGATTTATTATGAAGATTTATTATCATGCATATATTATATAGTTTTACCAGATACTTTTACCAGATACATATCATGCCATATATTTGCAATAATCTTCAAATTCGGCTGTAGTCACTCCTCGCGAGCGATAAATGTCCCAAACCTAAATAAGGTAAGCATTATCTTGTAGAACAGCATTACTTAAGCAGTGATCTTACCTTTTCATGCTCCTCTCAATATTTTCCCTGCGCTCGCGGTCTCGTTTCCTGAGATGCTTTTCTTCATTGGGGTGCTGAAAATTTTTTTGCTGGATTGGTGGCTTGCTCTCTTCGAGGGGACACCTACCTCTCTAATCCACCGCAGGGTACAGTGGGCTTCAAAATCAATATACTTCAGCTGCTCTATCAGGGGCCCCTTCCGAATGTGGCATCTGGAAGAAATAGTGATTACCTATCAAAAAGTAGTATGATTATGTTCAATGCTCACTTGTAGGCTTCGGCGGTGTTTGTAGTCCGAATGTCTACTATTTCCCATTTGTTCCACATATCTTTATAGGGACCGTCGAACCACGTCGTATGCAAGTATTCCAGGAATTCCTTGCATTCCGCGTAAGCGACGTGGTCCGCCGCTACTGGTGGGTTCCACAGCGCTCGAACCTGTAAAATTGTGTTTTGTTGGAACAGAAATACTTCGCTGGAAACCGTACCTCTGGGTAGAGTCGCTGGGGAGGAAACCACTCCTTTTACTTGTGTCCCACCACTCGGTCACCACCAGAATTCCGCAGTGCCCTTGGATGAACTCATTGTACATCCGAAAATTCTTCTGGATTGAAAGGCGCCAAAGCGCGCCAGCAAGCGAACACGAACTGTGTTTCAAGGCATGTTTAGGGGAGCGCTAATGTAGTAGTGACGCTACAACCACTTGCCAGTTTGCGCAAGAAGCAAAAAAGGCAAGCTCACCAGGGATCCGATTCAACGTCTAGTGAGCTACATCTCATCACAAGTGGTCACTTCGACCTGACGACCACCCCTAGTTAGCCCTATTTAACGCGAAAATTGCTTAGTTTCTGTTCTCAGAACCAACCACGAGAAATCATAATTTTTCTAAGTTTATTTCTGAACGAAACGGAAGTGCTTGAGTTAACAACCTCTGACGGTAAGTCATTCCAGAGGCTTACAATCCTCTGAGTGAAGGAATTCCGAAACTCAGCTGATCTGGTTTTCTCCCTTAGAATCCTAAAACGGTGGCCCCTGGTGCGACCAATAGTTGGAGATTTTTTGAAGAGGACGTCAAAATCTAAGTCTACTAATCCCGCCGAAAGCTTGTAAACAAACTCATAATCACAAAGCCTCCTCCTCATTTCCAGGGAGTCTTCCTTTAGATACTCAAGCCTATCTTTGTACGAAATATGGAAAATGCCCTGACGGGCGAAGATCCGTTCTGTAAATTTGGACTGAACACTTTCAATACGCTCAACCATAGCACGGGTGTGAGGGCTCCACAACATGGACAATATTCCAAAGTTGGGCGCACATATGTAGCAAAGAGCTGGAACAGAGTTTTGATGCTTCTTGAAGAGAAACGCGCAATATGGAAGTTCGCTTTGCAATGTGCCGAGTTTACCTTCTTGGTAACGTAATCATCACCCCATATATATAATTCGCTTCGTTTGTTTGTTTGTTTGTTTGTTTGTTTGTTTGTTTGTTTGTTTGTAAGTTTGTTTGTCTGTCCGGAAATTCGGTTCGACCTGAAGAACGACTTGGAGAGGTCGGGTCAAGGTGGGGATGGGTAGAGCATGGGACAAGAAATAAAAAGCACACTTGACCTATGCGAAGCCCCGCCCACAGTGGGGGGGGAGCACTCGCTGAAATTTTGGAACAGAAGAATGTTCATAATTCGCTTCCGGAGCAGCCTAAGATGGTGAAAAAGGGAATAAGGTTAGTAAGGAGTCGCCAGACTAACTGTGGCAGACACATCCAAAATGGGCGGGGCGTACTCAAGGTGGGCGGTGCTTCGCATAAAACTCAGTAACTCGGTTCGCGAGAGTGTTCAGAAGCCGCAAAAAGCTCAGTGCAGAATGTAAATATCTGGCGAGTATTGGGCATGCTCAAAATGTGTTGAGATCCGCCCACAGTGGGCGGAGCTTGCCCTAAACCGCAGGATACTCACTTTAAAAGTTTGTAGCTCGGTTCCAGAGCACTGCAAAGACCGGAAAAACGTGCGTCAAGGTCGGCAAAGGTTCGCCGGTGAGGACTGTGGGGCAAAAACATTGTGGGCGGAGCCTGCTCCGAGGTGGGCGGAGCCAGACAAAAAGGTCTGTAAAACGGTTCCAGAGCACTCCGAAGACCGGAAAAAAGTGGATTAAGGTCAGCAGAGGGTCGCCGGTGAGGATTGTGGGGCAAAAACATTGTGGGCGGGCCTGCTCCGAGGTGGGCGGAGTCAGACGAAGAATCTGTAAAATAGCTCAAGAGTACTTCAGACACCGGAAAAAAAGTGGATTAAGGTCAGCAGGGGTCGCCTGTGAAGAGTGCGGGGCACAAAAATTGTGGGCGGGGTCTGCTCTGAGGTGGGCGGAGTCAGACGAAGAATCTGTAAAATAGCTCAAGAGTACTTCAGACACCGGAGAAAAGTGGAGTACAGAACAAAAGGCGGATATCAGTTGAGTCTAGAAATATGTGAGAAGAAGGTACGCGCGGCGAAGCCGCGCCCGCCCGGCGCAGCCGGGCCGTATCAGAAGGAGCCGCGCCGGCGTCAGGCGAGGCGACTGGTTGAATGATAACGAATTTGAGTACGCAATGCCCAAATCTCTAATGGCATCAGGCTCTTGAGCTCAACACCATCAACTGAAAACCTGGGAGCGGGTGACAGTGTGGACCCATTCGTAGGGCAACCGTTTTCTCCAAGGAAATAGTAAGCTCCCATCTTTCTAGCCCAAACCGATATGGCATCAAGAGCACGTTGTAGCAGTGTAGCTTCCCCAAAGCAATAAACCTTGACGTCATCCGCATACATAGAACATTGCATGCCAGAAGGAAGACACTTGGGTAAATCATTAATGTAGATAATGAACAACAACGGTCCCTAAACAAGAACCTTGAGGAACACCACTCTCGGTTCGATATATTCTAGAACATGTTCCGTTGAGCACTACCCTTTGGTGTCTGTTCGAAAGGAACTCTTTTATGAATTTCAAGAGGCACCCTGTAATTCCAAACTGACTTAACTTTGAAAACAAGAGATGTAATGGTATGGAATCAAAAGCTTTAGAGAAATCTATGTAAGCAGCAACCACCAATTCTTTTTTATCGAGGGCATACTGCCATGCCGGAATGGATGAAAGCAGCGCCGAAGATGTGGACTTCCTCGGAACGAAGCCATGCTGGCTCGGGATAAAAGATGTTGTGTCAAAAGAAAGTCTCTAATTTTGTCACATATGATCCTTTCCATTACTTTACTAAGTGACGAAGTAAGGCAAACAGGCCTGTAGTTCTTGAAGTCACTCTTACTTCCTTTTTTGTGTATTGGCCTAACCAGTCCCAAGCGCCAAATTGCTGGTACGGTCCCTTTCAAAAGTATTCTGTTGAAGAGGTATGTGAGGGCGGGAGTGATACCTTCTGCAGCTTTCCTCAGAAAATATATACGGCAGGCCATCAGGAGAAGTAGAGCAACGAAGAGGAAGCTTGTTGAGCGTGTAAAAAATGTTTTCATAATTGAAGTCCACCCAATCCACCTTCTAATATAATATAACGAGGGTCCATCGTCTACCGAAGGAGCGGTGTCTTTCTTGTAAAATTTTCAACATAGTTAGCGAAAATCTCCACTTTTTGACTGTCAGCAGAGAGCGGAACACCAGTAGAAGATGTTATGGTGCCGATTGACGTAGACTCTTTCAATCTTGCATTACAGTAACTCTTTCTGTTTTTAGAGGTAGCTATGCGCTTTTCATTTTTAAGTTTTATCTTCGCAAGTTGCCTTTTGAGCAGCCGGGACAAGTAAAGATAACGTAAATTATGCTAATAGCTCCCACTTCTGTATAATCTCTGGACTTCCGCCTGAAGGATCAGTAAATGGCGAGGGAGCTTCATAGTATTCTTAGCACCACGACGAGGCGGAATGAACTGTGAGATGAGAGAATGGCAAAAATCAGTGAAAACGAAATAGCAGTCATCAATTGTTTCAATAGGGTCTCCTATTTTAGCGAAATTTGATGTAAGCCAGCGCACTGTGCATGCTTGACATCCTGATGAAAAAGATTTCAAAGGGCTCATTTTCGACGCCAGTTTCGTAAAACACTCTGTTCATTCGCGCTCTGCCAAGGCTGAGCATAGGAAAAAAGTCTTATCTAATGAGCCCTGTGCTCGGCCTTAGCGAAGTTCTAAATAGCGCTCATCCCGGAAAAAAAAGTGTTGCTACAGCCATGTATAAATTATTGTATGAATGTGAAAGAGCCGAAAAGCAAAAAAGCCACAAACACAGGAAGTCATAGTATGAAATTCGAAAAGTCACGATTGCGCTGAAAAGTGGGCGTGATCGAGAGGTGGGCGGGGTTCGAGATAGTGTGCAGTGCGGTCAAAGATGGCAGCGGCACCCTTGGATGAAGTGCTTGATCATTTTGCGAAATTTGACAGAGCGACAAAAAAGTGGTCCACGAGGGACAATATGAGCCACCGGTGGCTCATAGCGGACGCATGCGAAAGAATGCCATTGTTCCAGGCGCTTTCCCGCTAAACGCTATTGTCGTCAATGTGTTAACACGTCAGGGACCGCGTGACACATAAGGTGTCATGAATTTGTCTCTATGCTGTGTTTTATTTGATCAATTTGATTCTCCTTCCATGTTCTGCTGCGGTGAAAACACATTCTAGGTTACGGAAGACACTCACTCCATGCTACTCAAAGAAATGAGGGAATTACCGATGAATAAATTATGAAAAATCATAAAATGTCCGGAGATGCGCGCAGTACGACGGTCATTGCAAGGATACGGTTCGCGATATGACACGCAGGGAGGGCTGTGTGATACGGGGGAGAAGTTGTCAACGAACTTGTCCGTCAAGAGAAATAAAAGGAAACATCAAAAACGCCACTGATGGGGCTCCTATAGCTGAAACATTTGCACGAGTACAAGGCGAAAGACCGCCCGTTGGGAATATTAACTCTGCTGGTTCCTCAGAATGGATCCTATTACCCCAAAAGCGACAATGAGTGAGCAAAGGGTGAACGCTGATGGTGCGTTTTAGAGGCGGAGTTACACTACATTTTCATAGTTCATTGCGGAGCTCTCATTTGACTTCTTCGGGATTGCATCGCGCGACTTCTCTCAATTGAAGAGCTGTACACTCCCTATCCCTGAATCAGAGTAGCTGTGGCATTTGAACATGGCACGGAACTGGTTACTCGTGGAATATTCCAGTCTGGGACAACTGTCATCTTGTTCTGTGTTGGACAGAGACACGACAACAATTGTGTCAAGATGAAAATATCTCACCAGAAGCATAGACACCTTCAGGTTAAGTTGAAACATGCGGCCACGCCTACCCGATCTCAGGGATTTCGAGTATAAATGTCAGCTTGTAGATCAGCAGGCGGCGCTGGAGGATGAAATGTGGGGCTGAGGAGACAAAAACCATTCATATTCAGGTACTCCCGTTGTGCGAAGTGATGAGATGGGAACCCCGTTTATGACCTTTTCCGTTCAGAGTGACGAGATTATGCTCATCTGCATACTTAACCATTTGCTCACATCGACATTTCATGATCCGCAACCGACTTCACCTGACGAGCGTAGCTGTCGTTTGCAGTGCCCACGT